GATGCTTTGTGCTATTTTTAACCTTGCTTTAAGGCGGCGGACACATCTGCGTCTATCTGACCAAGGAGCTCCTGATGATCCCACACTGAGTGAAAAGCAAATAATTAACTGACGGTGCTGAAGGACAGCCAGACAAGGTTGCCGTCTATATTTTCTTAAATGAATGGCGCCTGAAACTCATTTCTTGTCATCCGTGACAGCATAATCCTTTGGAGAATTTAAAATAGCTCTCCTGGCTACGTTTCGTAATACCCTACAGGGGGGAGCGTTGCCCCCCTTCCGTCTGGTGAGCACAGACTGTTCTCACCCATGTTTATCGGTGTGTATGCAGTCTTTGCCAAGGACACTGTCTCCAGACCCTGCTTGCTCTGGCCTTGTAGGGCTAGATCCACTGGATGCAGATTCTGCAGGAGAGCTGTCTTTGTAGACCAGGGACCTCCCAGGAAAAAGAAGATCTGTCAATTCTGCTGCCTCCTGTCGTGTAAATTTGGATTAAAGAGTGCAATCAGGCCATGGTGCCGAGTAAGCAATATCAACATAGTGCTGTTGACGAGAGGTTATCTGGGGACTGTGTGAAGAGTTTCAAGTACAGACAGGCTGCATGCAATATGAGACAAGCAGAGGAGTTAGTCATCTAAGGCCACAGACCGACTAACGCTAGTGGACGGTGTCAGAAGAAATGATTTGGAGTTTGGCAGGTTTCTAAAGGTGGAGCTTAAATGTTTTTACTTAAATTATTTTAAAATAGTCTTTTCTGTCTTCGAGGATGTCTATTCAGGCCACTGACTGCCATACAGCCAAACAATGTTGATGTTTTTTAAGTTATTAAATCAAATGAGCACCCAGTCAGAGGAGGGGAATATGTTATGACAAGGTATGGTGGCCCAGGGTCAATGAAACGCAAAAGTTACACAAAAAGGAAGTCATGCTAAATCTATGGAGTTCCAAATGTGCCAGAAATATTTGTCTGTGTGATCATAATGAAACCCCCTTTCATCCTTCTCTCTCAAAGTTTTATTATATTAGCATAATTTCAGTTTAAGCTTAACCTAGTGTGGCTTTTCCTCGTGTGTTGTGGCTTTTGCATTTTGTTGACCTTTCTGAGCCACTATAACAACTAGCAGTTCTGCACATCACAAACTTGGCCAGTATAGAAAAGCAGCAAAAGGAAAGCAGGTGTAAGAAGTCCAGTTTTCAGTGTGGCACAATTCAATCTCTACGTGGGACACAGTATGTGGAAGAAGGTGCAGTGGCAATAAATCAAACAGAGCACATCACTCTGAATACACCACTACCAAAGTGAAACATTGTGGCATTAGCGTCATGCTTTGAGGTGGCTTTTTGTCAGCAATCTGAAAGTTAGAGATGAACAGAGCTGGAGAAAAACATTCTTTAAAATGTTGCAAAAGTCTTGAGCCTAGTATATAGCTTTACCTTTTAAAAGGACAAACAACCCCAAACATATAGGCAGAGTTGTAATAGAAAGCTGCTGTCTTGCAAGTCAGAATTTGAGCTATTTTACAAAGCAGAAAGGGGAAAAACATCAATATTAAGATATGCAAAGCAATTAGAGACCAAAAAACTTGCAGCTGTAATAGCTACAAAAGGCATTTATACAAAATATTAGCTGAACACAAATGAGTACACATTGTTGCTGTTTTTATTCTTTTATAATAGAACCCTTGTATCACATTTAGGGACTACATTTTGTATGTTCATTATTGTAAAAAAGAATATATCCTAATGTGCTGAAGATGAAGAGGTTTTTACATGTCTCTTAAAATTAGTGCCAGTTGTTTGGTGGTAACACTTCTTATCGCTGGGGGCTGCTGTCTTATCATCAGCCAGACGGTAGGAGGCCTAAGACAAGAGAGACACTAAAAATAAAGCCTACACTACATTCACGATGGGGGTAAATATTGTGACGTTAAACATCTAAACTAAAGAATTAAAATGAGCTAAGTAAAATCAAAGGATGTGAAGGATCACACATTTTTTTTTCTTTCTGATTTGTCAAAATGTCTTTTACCACCATCTGATAAATAAATTAAAGCTCTTTAAATGAGAGAGAGAGAGAGATAAGGGCGACAAAGTTGTGGCTTTTGACCTGGTTTCCTGACGAGCATAGAAAACTGCAGGACTCTTAGGGAACTTAGCTGAAAGCACCCAGATGAATTAAGGAAAAGGGGGACAAAAAACAATAACTACTGCCTTTTGGATATTTAATTAGCTTGAACTGCAATTATTTGTGCACTATAATCATTTCTAGCGCATAATAGCAAACACAAACACCTTGACACGTACCCGTTTCATGTTTTGCATGTTTTCTACTGAAAACCTTCTAAAAACACTGTAAGGGCATGACAAAACAAGCGCTACCGGGACTGTGACTTGTCCCGATTAGCTTGAGAGCGCAAACATTAGACACAGATGCACATACTGTTCTCTGTGAATGTTTGTGTTCAGCGTGTCACTTGAGTTTGGATGTCGTTATCACTGCAGTGTGTTCAGTGTGTTTCTGTCCCACAGTGTGCCTGCGTGCTTCAGTTACCCCGCACCTGGTAAACTGTATCGGCCTCGCCACCCAGTCTTAGGGAAGCTTTGTGAACTGCTTTTATTTAAAACCTGACATCTGCATGAGAAATCTGTGACACACTCAGCAGGAATCTGGAGACAGGTGTGGTGTTTTTTGTTCATAGTTTCCAGCTGAGTTTCTGTTATTGTTGCTTCCTTACAGTGCAGCACCAAAACACGGACTGCTTTGCAGCCAAGGAAGTCAGACTTTGTTTACAAGTTTTGGTGAAGATCTTCTTAGGCATGCCTTTTTATTCTTTTTTTATACTATTCTTTGTACTTGACATGATTTTGCACATTACACTGTATGTTGTCAAAAAAAAACTGAGAACTCTGTGAAGGTGTGCAGTCAAAAAAAAAGTAAGGCCTTCACAAATCCTCCGTCTAGTTAATCATTAATGATTTCAGCTTTTAATACACAATTTCATGTCTGTCGCTGAATGTCAGTGGTTGTTAAGAGGAAGGTGCCAAAGATCCCAACTTCAAGCAGGTTTCCTGTTATGTTTTCTGCTATGCAGAGACACAATACAGGATCAGGCTTTGAAGTCCAGGAGCCTTTTAAGCCTGAATGATTCATGGGATAGCATGATGTGGCTTAAGCAAAACAGTTGTAGGAGTGAAGATGTGAGCTTAAACAGCAGCAGTGGATCTAGAAGAGGTGAAGGACTTTTTAAAAATGAAGGTTTTTCTAAGGAGCAAAGAACAAACGATTGGGAATTAAATAGAAATAGAAATATCCTTAGGGCTTAAAACTTCACAGTACGTGTTATATCAAATCTGATCAGTTGTGTAGAGGTTTTACTGTATTTTATAGTGGAAAAGTCCATGATAATTTATGAACTTCTGTTTATTCAGTTTTGTCATGCGGGGTATGTATTATTAGATTCCACTGTTTAGTAATGGTCTGTTCAGTGATTGTTTTTTCTATCCCAGTCCACCTTCATTTAACATCAACTCTCTCATGAGAAGGGTTCTGCCTGCATCTTGCTTATGTTTTTGTCCCGTTCCACAAAAGCACATGGAAGGACCAAATGCAATATATACTGTACATTTACCAAAACAAGATGTATTATAAAAAAAATATCTCTAAGCTGTTCCATATAGGCTGGACCTCTAACTTTGATTCCAGTTAAGCTTTTTGACATGTCAGTGGTTAATTATAGTTTCTGTTGGCCTGACTTTTTACTACTAAACATTATCCAACTAGTCGTCCTTTTTTTTATATACTTATATCCAAGAGAGAGCAAATTCTCTTCTGCTATACAGGAATGTAGCGGTACACCATGGAACTTCAAGGTAACTTATAGTGACTAAACTTAATTGCTGTTTTTAGGTGGTGAAACCAGAATACTTGAGAGAATCCATGCATGCAGAAGGAGAACCTGAGTGCATTCCCAGCACTCTGCAATTTACACCAGTATGTGGAAGTTAATATATTTCAAGAGAAGCAAAGCTGTTTGAAAATCAATCAGGTGTGCAAGTCTTTATGGAGTTAAATTTTTAAAACATAAAGCTACACCACTGTGGGCAACAGCAGTGTGTATAAATGTGTACCATTACGTGAGCCTACACACCATAGCATAAAGTAAAAAAAAAAAAAAGAAAAAAAAAAAAAAAAAAAAAGGAAATTGGAGACTGCAGGAAGGACAAAACACCACCAGGGGTTTACACCAAAAATCCAGAAATACCATTGGACGCCCAGATGCTGCATTCATAAAAAGCCAGTAGGAGTGGGTGGTATACAGTGTGATGAAAGGCACATTTGGACCCTCCCCATTAAGGTACAATGAACTGAGTGATGCTGTGGGGAGGGAGAGATGACTATTTACATAAATAAAATTCCAGCAGCATCATTGAAAAAAAGGAGAACCTTGGTGCTGTCTGCACCATTGCTGTTTACTCATTTGAATATTTGAGGCTTATTTCTTGCAGTTAATGATCAGCTTGATCAGTGTGGTGTCAGATGAGAACATGCAAATAGGATTAGGTAACCCAGCGTTAGCTATGAATTTGCAAAAAATTAAAGAAATAAATACGAATAGCATGAATATAGAGTGAAGTGTTTATATATATATATATATACTATGACTACTATGATTACTTCAGGGGAATTAGTTTGACTAAAATATCACTTTAATAACTTTACTTTGCACATCTTCATCTGCTCCCTGAGCAGGCACTGGATCAGTTTACCCTCCCCCAGCCCCGCTTCACAACAACAGAGCTGCTGGAAAGCAGACGCTGATCAGGGATCAGTCTCCATTTCCATCTGGGTTCAGGCTGACAGCTCCATCCTGCCCAGCCCCCACCTATCCCTGTTGCTTAGAGGACTCGGCTGCTCTAGGGTGTAATATTCTGATTGGCTGCCTCGCCGTCTGGGAGGCGTGCGAAAGGCGTGGCCGACACATTGTGATCTCACAATCAGCTGTTTTGTACGTTTCTACATTCTGATCCGAGGATCAGCTGGAAGGCAGCAATAAACAGGAAAATCTGCAGCGAAGGAAACAAAAAGAGGGGAGGAGGAAGTAGCTGCAGATGTTATGATCTGAAAACAGTGTAATTTTTTTTTTTTTTTTACACGAAGCCCTTCTTCTAAGAAGAAAGCCTTTTATTTTTGTATATTAGTGCTCCAACTACCTCACGTAAAGGCTATATCTAAAGCTATGCTTTAAGAGTTGTCGTTTCTACTGTGTTTTGACACCTCGTTTACAACTTGAACTCAAAGGCAGGTATGTATGTTTTCATTTTTGTTTATTTTCAGTTTAGTCTTTTGTGTCTTGCCTGTAGATCTCAAATAACAAATTTGCCGGCCAGCCTCTTGTTATCCTGGTTTTGGGGGCATTTATTAAGCCCATTTCCTGGTTATTGAATAATGTGACATTCAGTTATAACGTATTTGTCTTTGTGACCCATACTGTAGGCTATTTCTGTCCGCAGTGTATTCTATCTGTGATGATCTATTATTAGGACATGAATAAATGCGAAGGCAGTATGGAGGTGCAGAATAAGATGCGTAAGAAGGCCGATTTGCCACCATATGTTACTATGAAAAAAAAGGACTCCTGCCTGTCTGAATATATGCCAGCAGCCGTTGTTTTGCAAACTGCACCAAAATCCTGATGTGGGTCGATGGCGGATGTTGACATCTTTTCAGCCTCTTTTTTTTTTTTTTTTTTTTTTTTTTTTTTTTTTTTTTTTGGTCAAGGAACACCTTCAGGGTTCATTTATTTTGCATAAAATCCTAAGTTATTCAGTGTAAACGCCGGTCTTTTGTGCTACCGGAGCCTGATCCAGTTGATGTCTTGCGAGCAGGCACAGCTGTCATTGCTGTGACCCTTCAGCTGTAGAGCTTATACGGATAATTCATGTTTAACCTGAATACCACCAGCTCACACCGAGGGAGTCGCGCTATCTTCCTGCTTCACGCAACGAAGCTGAAGCCGTTTTATTTACCTTATAAACATCGCGGGTGTCTTTGTCATTTTCCGTATAAATATTAGTGCTGCTGGCAGCGTAATCTTTACATAAGCGCGGTTCTCACGGGATCCATCGACAGGCAGGAAATGACTTTGCCGTTTCAAAATACGGACTAGACACGGACAGCAGAATATGTTTCATAATACATGATCTTTTATTTCGATATGTTTGCTGTTAAAACCTTTTTTTTTTTTCGCCTTTGGTCGCAAAATGGGCTGGAGCTTCAGCGTCAGCGTCCGTGACGCAACGTGACGTCAGAGGGTTCTTGTTTTCATTCTCCAGATCTCCGCCCATCGCGCTCTTTTCTCTCCTCCCTCTTAGAGGAAGTCTCAATTGGAGATATTTATACAATTAATACATAAGATATCTATATTGTAAATTTGTAAACCTCTTGTGTAACTATACTGCTTTTATCACTAGCTTTTGCTTCTCCCTATAGACCTGAGGGCAAAGCCAGGGCCCTGAGCTAAAGCTAGTTTTGCTGCCCTTCTCACACAAGTTTCTGTTATATGCATTTTGCAATTGGAAGTTGGGTACGGGCGATGGTCATAATTGCCATTAGACACGGGCGGGTTCCTTTAATGATCCTTATAAAAACAC